AGTTGTGTACAGCTATTTCATGCTTTTTCTTGTAATTAGACAACGTGGTCACAAATTTTAACGTAATCTCGCCCAGTTTTTCGGTGGTGGAATAGGTGAAGCATTCCAACGCTTTCTCCGCTGTTCCAGGGCAGATCGGCATCACAATTCGCATGTGCAGGAGAACCGATCTGACCGATTCACCAGGACCGATCAGCTGTTTCAGGGCAGATCGGTTCTCGTGCACATTCGATTTGCGATGCCGATCTGCCCTGGGAAAGCGCTGGAATGCTTCACCTATTGGTGGTCACACATTCCACCGCCGTAAAACTGGGCGGCATTACGTTAAAACGTGTGACCACGTCACCGGTCACACATTTTAACGTAGTCACAACCTTTGATAGAACACCGCCATCAGAGGGGTATAGCCGGTACCAATGTGAGAAGTCTGGGGGTCCTCTTACATGGGTATCAACTGTACCGACGCGGCATCCCGACGACCAGACCAGCCTACCTGGGACCCTGCAAAGCCCACCATAGAAAGTCTCAGGTGGGCTATACAGGATCTATGGTGTGCTCTGCAGGGTCTCAGGTAAGTCCAGCACGCTACTGCAACATTAGAGACCGCTGGGGGGAGGGGGGAGCGGGGGACAGTGTGATCCGCGCCCCCCCCTCTTGGGAGGGGGGCCCAAGATAAAATCTTGCACCAGGGCCCTTTGGTTATTAGTTCCGCCACTGAGTAATTACATAAGGCTACTATAAAGACATATTGGAGTACCGTTTCATATTTTAGAAACAGCATGTTTTCAGTCCCCCTGTGACTCTTTCAATTATGCTGTGTAATCCAGCAAGAATGTTAGGTAGCTTTAAGTTAACAGTTAGAGTTTAGGTCCACTTTAAGGCAAGAGGGCAGAGGATGGTCAGTGTCCACTTTACCACCATGAAGGGAATAGAACATATCTGTTGTAACCTGTTGGCTACTAGCTTACAAAATGTTAATTTGTAGACAATAAAAATCAATAACGCTCATAAAACCGCATTCAATAGAATCTTACTTATTGCATATTACAGCGACAGTGTGTGGAATACGCTTTAAAAGCTCGGCCACTGAGAAGATACATTCCCAAGAACCCTTATCAGTATAAATTCTGGTATGTGGTCAACTCCACAGGATTTGAGTACATCATGTTTGTCCTCATCATGCTGAATACACTGTGCTTAGCCATGCAGGTAAGTGACCAGACAAGGGATACTCTCTTGGTATTGTTCCTAAATGGACTGTATAGCATTATTTTGTCTGTTTTTTTATATGGTTATTTTCAGTAATTTGTATTTTTTTGTCACGTTAATAAGAAATATTGCTTTTATATATATATATATATATAAATGTTTATAGTTTTTGGTCTTTACGTGGTAAACAGGTACATTCTCTGAATTTTCTAAAGGCTCTTTTTTTATTGGATGACTCAGAGGAGGGACACTTCCCTCTCTCTTTTCTATAGCTACATACATTGAATTAGAGACAAGCATGCAGGTTGTACAGGCTTCACTTATAGGTAATCCAGCATCCTCTCCAAACTGAGTGTGAGGATGCAGCCTGCGATTAATGTTTATTTGTTAAACCAAGGGGATTATTCACGTAGGAACCGAAGGATCCGGCCGTAGCTTTGGCTGATCCTTTGGCTCTCTTCGGTCGCCGGAAGCTCTAAGTCCAGTCGAACCGAAGGGCTGCTGTACGCGCCCGTACAGCAGCCGAAGGTGGCCGAGCGGCTCAGCCAAGCTGAAGGCATATGCTTCGGTTTGACTGAGTGCATATGTACAAATGCATAGTGCAAATGACAGCTGGGCGGAGCCAGCTGTGATCTCACGGGTGGCTCCGCCCAGTTGTAATGACAGATTAGCGTCCCCAAATGACCTGGGGACGCTGATCTGTCATTAAACAATAACAACTAGGCTGAGCCGGCTGTGACATCATAGCCGGCTCCGCCCAGTTGTTGTTCATTGGACGGGACCTGCTAGAAGACTCTAGCAGGTTTCGGCCAATAGGAAACAGTTGGGCGGAGCTAGCTAGCTGTCACTGCTAGCTCTGCCCAATTGTTTTTTTTGTTTGTTTAACTATTTTCAATGATTTGTTATTCTGCTCTGTACCACGGAGGTACCGGGCTGAATGCCGCTCTGCAATTCATTCACTGCTGATCGACCCCTACGTGAATAGGGGCGAACAGCAGTGAGTGAGCTGCCAGAGCTTCAGCCGATCCAGATGTTGGATCGGCTGAGTCAAAGTCCTTCTGCAGAGCATGTTCGGCTGACTGTAGTGCAACCGAAGGAAGCTGATGTACGGCTAAAAAGCAGCCGTACTGAGCCGTAGTGAACAGCTGAACGTTGTTCGACTCACTTCACTTCGGCTCGGATTTTCACTCGGCTGCCTTCGGCAGCTTTGTGAATAACCCCCTAAATGTTGTACAAATAATGAATAAAATATATACCGTATATACTCGAGTATAAGCCGTCCCGAATATAAGCCGAGGTACCTAATTTTACCACAAAAAACTGGGAAAAAGTATTGACTCGAGTATAAGCCGAGGGTGGGAAATGAGGCAGCTACTGGTAAATGTACAAAATGAAGATAGATACCAATAAAATTACATGAATATTTATTTAAAAGAAAAACAATAACCTAGCTCTGTAAGTGGAAAAGGGGGTACAGGGCTACATATCATGTACTACGGATCATTTAACCCATTCATATTAGCAGAGGATAATTGTAAATCTATTGTTCAGTGCA